TATAAGCTACGTAAGATAAGTAGGGTAAGAATGGGCCTGCCAGTGTTGGACTTGGAAAACCTTTCCAGGCATCTCAATGGATTCACGTGTAATTATCGGAAGAAACCACAGAGATACTCACCACTTATCAGCTGAGGCTTGATCTTCTGATTCACCTAGCCACAGTTTCTCCTCTGACTGCTCCAAGTATTCTTCTGCCCATTTGGCAGGAGATGCAGATAATGGATCTGTACAGAAATGGGATAAAAGTAAGTTAACTAAACAGCCTGGGAGAAGCAAGAAGGGGCACTGAGAAACAACAACAGTTATCAAACATCTTTGCACAGAAATACCTACTATCCTACTCAAAGTCAGCTTCAATTATCCTAGACCTAGCTAATGCCCTAGCTAATACCCTAGCCTAGCTAATACCCCAAAATATGAGTTATTACATAAAGTTATTCATAGTCTTCCAGCCGGGACACTGTTGTATTAGTCACCATCACCCATTTTAATTTGGAAAAAGTCCAGAGAAAGGCAACTGGGATTGGGAAAATGATTTTGAAAGCCCAACTGAAGACAATCAGGAAAGCACAGAGAAATGACTGAAGCAGAGCTCCAGTAGCAATTCTGCCTTGTCTACAAGTCTACCACGGCAAAGGGAAAAATAAAGTGACTCGCAAATTATTTAATTTGGATATAACAAGACTCTAGACAAAACATTTAACTCTGCAAATAACTATAAAACAGGACATGATTCCTAGAATTACACAATCTTCCTTCTCTACAAGGCCTTTGTACTTTTAAGGCCCTGTTGAAAAATTACATTCAATTCAGAATGCCATTTATGTATTGAAGGAAACTCTAGTTGAGCAAATCCTATGCGACATTAAACATGTATTCAGGTGGCACATGATTGTTAATTTAACTGCAATGCACCCAGTTTATTATTAGATTTATATCCTTTTTTTTTCGTCTAACGCAAAGTAGTTTACATGGGGATCACCCTTTTATCCCATGACTGAGAATGGAATTAAACCTGAATCCCTTTACTACTATGCTATATTGACTTCTCAAAACATGCTTTTCTAGAACATATGTTTTCTAGAAAAACCTACTTTTCTAGGTCTACAGACTTAAATCTTCAGAAGGCAAGACAGAAGAAAAAAAAGACTGCCTAAAAGAAGCTGAACAAGAAAGGAGATACTCTTTAGTACTATGCAGGAAACTTCCTTTATTCTGCCAATCCTGCACCCATTCCGTTTACAGTGGCTTCGTTTTTCCCACCCTGCTCCATTAAATGCAATAGATAAATAAATAATAATAAATAAGTAAATACCCGTAAACTCCTGTAAAGTGAGAGATGCCCACATCTTCCCAACAGCAGCCTTACCTGTAACCTCGGCAATGAACTCCTGGGACCAATCGGCACCATCATAATCTGCGGACACGTCAGCTGCATTATCAGATGCACCAAGGAAGTCCTGCGCCCAGTTTTCCGAGAGTGCCAGCGCTGCCACCCCTGGAGCTGAGGAACAGGAATGGGTCCCAATAAGTGTCCCAATATCAAACACACACACACACAGCACATCTCCCAATACATACAGGTGAGACCAATACCAGACTGTATTTTTTTCTATAATTCACAACCCTCTCCTTCCCCTTTTTAGAAACAAAAGGCCAGAGCCTGCCCTACTCCCTTTTGTCCAGAAGGTGTTTGGCTCTTCCTTGTTCACATTTACCTCTCTGTGGGGCCTGTCGGAAATTAGATTGCTCAATTTCCTGCATCTCAGCCAACAGATCATCCATCTTGAATGTTTGTGGGCCACAGGAGAGCATGGGGCCATTCTGCTCTTGAAGGAACTCTGCCACCAGCTGTCACAGAAAATGATACAGGAATTTGTGTGGGCAAAATGTACATCAGGGGCATGGAAATAAAGTCATAGAACAAGTCAAGAGTGGTGAGGAAGTTAGAAACAAATATGGGAAGGCTTACATCATCTTCAGTGGCTCTTCCAAGAGGTTTGGGTACCTAGAAAACAGAAGAGATGTGGTAATTATCTTGAGCTCCCTTTGCCCTCCGAGGCTCCATCTCACTTTGATATTATACAGCTCTTTAGACAATGAGAATGGTCAATTTTAAATCAGATGGAACTGTACATGGGAAAAGAAGATATAATGGTGGTTCTAATCTCTCCACATATCCTCAAGGAAGGATCCCTGCAAGACTAAATGTGGGAGATTCAGGTTATTGACAATATTTATTTCCATTCTTAATTGATTTAATTGATTTGATTTATTATATTTATACCCCGCCCTTCTCCCGGAGGACTCAGGGCGGCTTACAGCCAGGAGGACTCAGGGCGGCTTACAGCTCACTTCCATCCATGCACTATGGGTTTGAACCTAACTTGGCCTGAATAATTGTGTGCCTACATAATATATCTGTGGCAAATATGAGATTTGAAGCAGGAATTTTCCAGATCAACTTTTAATCAGCTCTTGAAACTGCCACTGTGAAAAAAAAACATTTTGGAAAGTCTACTGACCCTAAGCATGTACTGACAACTACCTTATAAGAAACCTAAAAACCTTCCAAGCCACACTCTTCCACAATTTGATTCACAGCTGAATTTATATACTGTATTAAATCACATTCTTTTAATTAAAATTTGTTGAATAAACACCAATGGCTGAATTAACTCACTGTGCTAAACTACACAAGTTACAGTTTAGTGCAATTATAAACTCAAACATAAAAGCATCCTATATTTAAATTTCCTATTTAATGGCAATATGACGACTATGACAAGAATGAAAAAAGAAAAGAAAACACATATCCTCAAACTATGCATTCAGAGACAGTTTCTAAAAGTACAGTGAACTGTAAGAGCCAACTAATAATCCTGGATCAAATAAAGGTGAAATTCATACGCTTTGATGCAATAAAAAATAGATACAATAGGAAAAAATATTCTGGGCAAAAGTGAGGAAAATACAAGGCAATCGAGACAACAGACAAGATGGATGTATGGCATCAAAGTGATTAGCAGAAAGTCCAGAGATGGGACACACATCAACATACTGAATGCTTTGTACCATCTCCAGAAGTTGAATTAGTTTCAGGCTCCCTAATATCCTAAATCAGCTTTATACGTATTCCAAGACAGAGCAATAGTATCCTAAAACAGTGTGTTAAACTTACCACATCTGCTATTGGACCAATGGGAGGCCACGCTAGGGAGCCGTGGAGTCCTTCCTGTTGCAGGCCCTTGTCCTGTGTGAAGTGGCTAGCCAGCTTCATCAGAGGATTAGAGCCCCCACACTCTGGCTCCACCAACTCCCTCATTGCCATGGTAGGTGGTGGAGAACTTGACACCCACACAACCCTCACCTGTCCAAAGAATAAAGAGTTGCACAGATTATATTTAGTTACAGTATATATAGAATTGTCTGCACGATTAGATTACTGGTCGGGCAACTTCGAAAAGGATCATGGAATGCAACTGCTGCAGCAGACGAAACAGAGACATCAATTTCCCTACTAATAGTAATGAATTTTGGAGCACCATCCCTAAAACCTATCTAAGTCATATCCAGATCTACCCATATATTTACTTACTTTATATATGTGCTTACCTATTTACATATGCATGATATATAATTTTATAGTGATTAACGCTGACATTACTTAACGACAAAGGAAAATCCAGGAAGTGTCAGCTAACCAACCATTATTGCCCAAAATGACAAGCAATGAACTATGGTTTGTTACCTTACCATATCAGGTATTAGATCAGTGAGCAGATGTCTGATCTATGGCTAGCACAAGACATGGTGCAACTCATCATGTAATACAAAATCACAATGTCAGGTTGATTAATCCAAGCCCTCATCCCAACCCCTACCCCCCAGTAACCACAAGTGTTGGAGCTCAGACCCAACTATTACAGTATTGTTAGCATGGTACTCAAATACCACTTACACTGACAATATTACTGTTTACTGGGGTTTACCGGAGTTTATATAAGCCAGCAAAACATACACTATGGCTGTCAAAGCACAATGCCTGTGTGCATACAACATGTTAAGGCAAATTATGATGGTTAGCATTTGCTTTAGCATGTTGCACAACTCTCGGCTTAAAACTGCACAATTACAAATCACTCCGAACTACATTTACCTACACACCCACAAATGAATTAAGTAACTCTAACAAACACATCTCACGCAGACTTATTAACCCAGGAAGCACCGTATACAGTATTCCCTTTCCAGCATACATTCAATCAGTGGCAAAATCTAAGCTACGTTCTCCTCTGCTAAGCCCTGATGCTTTCCAGTGGGCTACAGTTACCTAGCCGTCATTGAACCACCACCAGGGGCATGCAGTACTGTATACACGCATCTTGATCACTTCATAAAACCCGAGGAGCGAGTTAGAGCCGAAAGCAAGTTCTGGAGCTTATCCAGGACTGTGTCAATTGAGACACCAAGAGGTTTTCTAATCTATACTATCCTAATAGCCAGCACTGGAAAAAAACGAAAGCGACAATGCAAGCCGGACTTGATTTCAGGAATCTCGACGACTCTGCTGCACGCCTGGCTGAATAACCAGTCTCCGCCGCCGGAAAGGTTTGGGGATGAAATTAACCAGCTCACCAGGCTTCCAAGGCCTTGCTTCTCTCCACTTCAGAGCTCGCCTTTCCCAGCAGCCGTATAGTGCCCTTGTGAAGGNAGAGAGAGAGAGAGAGAGAGAGAGAGAGAGAGAGAGAGAGAGGAAAGAGAGGGAGAGGAAAGAGGCATAAAATAATTCATTTGCATTTAATTGTAATGGTTCAAAGAATGTTCGGAAAAATGTTCGGCCCTCCAGCACGTTCACTTCATCCAATCTGGCCCTCTTTGAAAAAAGTTTGGACACCCCTGCTCTAGACAAAACATTTAACTCTGCAAATAACTATAAAACAGGACATGATTCCTAGAATTACACAATCTTCCTTCTCTAAAAGGCCTTTGTACTTTTAAGGCCCTGTTGAAAAATTACATTCAATTCAGAATGCCATTTATGTATTGAAGGAAACTCTAGTTGAGCAAATCCTATGCTACATTAAACATGTATTCAGGTGGCACATGATTGTTAATTTAACTGCAATGCACCCAGTTTATTATTAGATTTATATCCTTTTTTTTTCATCTAACGCAAAGTAGTTTACATGGGGATCACCCTTTTATCCCATGACTGAGAATGGAATTAAACCTGAATCCCTTTACTACTATGCTATATTGACTTCTCAAAACATGCTTTTCTAGAACATATGTTTTCTAGAAAAACCTACTTTTCTAGGTCTACAGACTTAAATCTTCAGAAGGCAAGACAGAAGAAAAAAAAAGACTGCCTAAAAGAAGCTGAACAAGAAAGGAGATACTCTTTAGTACTATGCAGGAAACTTCCTTTATTCTGCCAATCCTGCACCCATTCCGTTTACAGTGGCTTTGTTTTTCCCACCCTGCTCCATTAAATGCAATAGATAAATAAATAATAATAAATAAGTAAATACCCGTAAACTCCTGTAAAGTGAGAGATGCCCACATCTTCCCAACAGCAGCCTTACCTGTAACCTCGGCAATGAACTCCTGGGACCAATCGGCACCATCATAATCTGCGGACACGTCAGCTGCATTATCAGATGCACCAAGGAAGTCCTGCGCCCAGTTTTCCGAGAGTGCCAGCGCTGCCACCCCTGGAGCTGAGGAACAGGAATGGGTCCCAATAAGTGTCCCAATATCAAACACACACACACACAGCACATCTCCCAATACATACAGGTGAGACCAATACCAGACTGTATTTTTTTCTACAATTCACAACCCTCTCCTTCCCCTTTTTAGAAACAAAAGACCAGAGCCTGCCCTACTCCCTTTTGTCCATAAGGTGTTTGGCTCTTCCTTGTTCACATTTACCTCTCTGTGGGGCCTGTCGGAAATTAGATTGCTCAATTTCCTGCATCTCAGCCAACAGATCATCCATCTTGAATGTTTGTGGGCCACAGGAGAGCATGGGGCCATTCTGCTCTTGAAGGAACTCTGCCACCAGCTGTCACAGAAAATGATACAGGAATTTGTGTGGGCAAAATGTACATCAGGGGCATGGAAATAAAGTCATAGAACAAGTCAAGGGTGGTGAGGAAGTTAGAAACAAATATGGGAAGGCTTACATCATCTTCAGTGGCTCTTCCAAGAGGTTTGGGTACCTAGAAAACAGAAGAGATGTGGTAATTATCTTGAGCTCCCTCTGCCCTCTGAGGCTCCATCTCACTTTGATATTATACAGCTCTTTAGACAATGAGAATGGTCAATTTTAAATCAGATGGAACTGTACATGGGAAAAGAAGATATAATGGTGGTTCTAATCTCTCCACATATCCTCAAGGAAGGATCCCTGCAAGACTAAATGTGGGAGATTCAGGTTATTGACAATATTTATTTCCATTCTTCACTTCCATCCATGCACTATGGGTTTGAACCTAACTTGGCCTGAATAATTGTGTGCCTACATAATATATCTGTGGCAAATATGAGATTTGAAGCAGGAATTTTCCAGATCAACTTTTAATCAGCTCTTGAAACTGCCACTGTGAAAAAAAAATCATTTTGGAAAGTCTACTGACCCTAAGCATGTACTGACAACTACCTTATAAGAAACCTAAAAACCTTCCAAGCCACACTCTTCCACAATTTGATTCACAGCTGAATTTATATACTGTATTAAATCACATTCTTTTAATTAAAATTTGTTGAATAAACACCAATGGCTGAATTAACTCACTGTGCTAAACTACACAAGTTACAGTTTAGTGCAATTATAAACTCAAACATAAAAGCATCCTATATTTAAATTTCCTATTTAATGGCAATATGACGACTATGACAAGAATGAAAAAAAGAAAAGAAAACACATATCCTCAAACTATGCATTCAGAGACAGTTTCTAAAAGTACAGTGAACTGTAAGAGCCAACTAATAAGTCCTGGATCAAATAAAGGTGAAATTCATACGCTTTGATGCAATAAAAAATAGATACAATAGGAAAAAATATTCTGGGCAAAAGTGAGGAAAATACAAGGTAATCGAGACAACAGACAAGATGGATGTATGGCATCAAAGTGATTAGCAGAAAGTCCAGAGATGGGACACACATCAACATACTGAATGCTTTGTACCATCTCCAGAAGTTGAATTAGTTTCAGGGTCCCTAATATCCTAAATCAGCTTTATACGTATTCCAAGACAGAGCAATAGTATCCTAAAACAGACTAAGTGTGTTAAACTTACCACATCTGCTATTGGACCAATGGGAGGCCACGCTAGGGAGCCGTGGAGTCCTTCCTGTTGCAGGCCCTTGTCCTGTGTGAAGTGGCTAGCCAGCTTCATCAGAGGATTAGAGCCCCCACACTCTGGCTCCACCAACTCCCTCATTGCCATGGTAGGTGGTGGAGAACGTGACACCCACACAACCCTCACCTGTCCAAAGAATAAAGAGTTGCACAGATTATATTTAGTTACAGTATATATAGAATTGTCTGCACGATTAGATTACTGGTCGGGCAACTTCGAAAAGGATCATGGAATGCAACTGCTGCAGCAGACGAAACAGAGACATCAATTTCCCTACTAATAGTAATGAATTTTGGAGCACCATCCCTAAAACCTATCTAAGTCACATCCAGATCTACCCATATATTTACTTACTTTATATATGTGCTTACCTATTTACATATGCATGATATATAATTTTATAGTGATTAACGCTGACATTACTTAACGACAAAGGAAAATCCAGGAAGTGTCAGCTAACCAACCATTATTGCCCAAAATGACAAGCAATGAACTATGGTTTGTTACCTTACCATGTCAGGTATTAGATCAGTGAGCAGATGTCTGATCTATGGCTAGCACAAGACATGGTGCAACTCATCATGTAATACAAAATCACAATGTCAGGTTGATTAATCCAAGCCCTCATCCCAACCCCTACCCCCCAGTAACCACAAGTGTTGGAGCTCAGACCCAACTATTACAGTATTGTTAGCATGGTACTCAAATACCACTTACACTGACAATATTACTGTTTACTGGGGTTTACCGTAGTTTATATAAGCCAGCAAAACATACACTATGGCTGTCAAAGCACAATGCCTGTGTGCATACAACATGTTAAGGCAAATTATGATGGTTAGCATTTGGTTTAGCATGTTGCACAACTCTCGGCTTAAAACTGCACAATTACAAGTCACTCCGAACTACATTTACCTACACACCCACAAATGAATTAAGTAACTCTAACAAACACATCTCACGCAGACGTATTAACCCAGGAAGCAACGTATACAGTATTCCCTTTCCAGCATACATTCAATCAGTGGCAAAATCTAAGCTACGTTCTCCTCTGCTAAGCCCTGACGTTTTCCAGTGGGCTACAGTTACCTAGCCGTCATTGAACCACCACCAGGGGCATGCAGTACTGTATACACGCATCTTGATCACTTCATAAAACCCGAGGAGCGAGTTAGAGGCGAAAGCAAGTTCTGGAGCTTACCCAGGACTGTGTCAATTGAGACACCAAGAGGTTTTCTAATCTATACTATCCTAATAGCCAGCACTGGGGGAAAAACGAAAGCGACAATGCAAGCCGGACTTGATTTCAGGAATCTCGACGACTCTGCTGCACGCCTGGCTGAATAACCAGTCTCCGCCGCCGGAAAGGTTTGGGGATGAAATTAACCAGCTCACCAGGCTTCCAAGGCCTTGCTTCTCTCCACTTCAGAGCTCGCCTTTCCCAGCAGCCGTATAGTGCCCTTGTGAAGGATCTCCATGTCCTCCCCCTAATGAGCTGAATCGATCCGGCGAACAACCTAGAGTACGTACCGGGAATCTCCCGCTCCCCTTCCAATGCAATACATACCTACACGTCCCCGTGTCTGCTTCGTTCCTACAACATTCGCAAAAAGAAGAAAGGAGGCGGAGCCGGCCCTTAAAGGGCCAGCGCGCAGTAACAGAAACCGGGAAGCAACGCCGACTCCGGAGCGTTTGCCACGGAAAGCCAACCACGTTGGGAATATTGATGTCAGGATAAGATCGTGCTGGTTTTGATGCAGAAGTAAAAAAAACCAAAAAAAACCCAATAGAGGCTAATAGCATTTCTTGGTCAGATTACGATTTCAGCTTTGCTTAACCCCGAGTAAACCGGTTTAGAAATCGAATGATGTAACTGCCGGACACCCATGTCACAGCTTTGACTATGTAGTGGATATTCTATCCACCTATGTTTCAGTAAGTTCTTCTATGCCTGGCATTCAGTATTAAAGCTATGGAAAAAATATTCAGTGCAAGGTCAGCTCACTTTCTTCTGGCTCTGGTATAAGCTCTGGAAGGAATTGCTGTTTTAAAGTAGAGCGTAAAGAGATGGGGGAAAGAATTGTATTTTCCCATCGTTTTTTCTTATCAGTTGTTAAGAACTTATTTTCTGAGTACTGTCTAAAACCTTGATAGCAAATCCAAATGACTTATGTATTTAAAGTGAAAATCTTGAGGACCTGAAGCCACAGATAAATATATAATGCATAATGAAGAACTTAAAGTGCCACAAATAGCTGATCTACTGTAACTGCTATCCATGCTTAATACTACACATACCAGGGTAATTTTCACAGGGGATGGAATATTAAAATCACAAGAATATTTATGAATGCTTACGTCAGTGATGGCGAACCTTTTAGAGACCGAGTGCCCCAAAACTGGCACCGCCCCCTGCTCCACCCACCTCACCCTGCCTGCCCCACGCTCTGCCCCACTCAACTGCCCGCAGGGCCACCCACCGCCTCCAGGGCCCACCGCAGAAGATCGCCCAGGTGGCCCTGCAGCGCCATGGTGGCCACGCCCCGTACCCCGCAACATCATCTGCGCGCAACGGGGCACGAGGGTGGAGTCTTATCCCTGCTGCCCAGCTGCCATGTCCTTGGCTGCGGTGCCCTGCACGGGCTGCGCCTGGTGACAACTCTGAGGGGTGGCTGCTGGTGAGGAGGGGGCCGTGGGGGGAGTTGGGGCTGGAGCAACAGCATGCGTGCCCACAGAGAGGGCAATGAGTGCCACCACTGGCTTAAGTCATGTCTCAAAAGTCACTAATTCCCCACCCTACTGTATAGAATTACTCTCTTCATTAATATTAGTATTAAAAAAGAGTAAGTTGAATAAGTCTTTATAAAAAAATATGGTGATTTACCTTTTATTTGTTCATAATAAATTATTTTCTCAAGTAGCAGCTTATCCCAGCTTTCCCCAAATTGGATCCTTCTAGGTGTGTTAAAATTACAAAATCCCTTTACATCAACTATTTAGTTGGGGATAGCAAAAGTTGCCATCCACCACAACTAATAGTTCCTTGTTAAAAAGGCTATTACCTACAGCCAAAATAACTAAAAGAGGATTTTTAAAAAGATGAGAACAAAAAGGGAAACAGAAAAAGATTCATATGTTTGGATTTGTGTGATGTTTATAAAAATTAAGTTAAATGGCTCATGCGGAGTGACCACTGAACTGTAACACTAATCCACTTCAGGGTAATGATTCCAAGCCAACTGATTCAGTTTTAACCACTTTCTTAGTTTAGCCTGCCCAGAAGTCCCTTTTGGCACTTCGATCAAAGTAATAGTGCTACTTCCATCTGGCAATTTAAAGGAAACACTGCTTCAGTCCAGAATGCATCTTTAAATGTGAACTTCTGTTAAAACTTCACTGAGCAATGTCCTTTAGAACAGTGTAATAAAGAAAACCTGAAATGGTACCATAGGTCAAGATGCTGATCTGTTGACTAACCTTCTCAGGAAGCCTAAACTTTTCACTGAAATGTACTTTAGTCCACAACTACAGTTTATTCAAATGGACTAATTCCTTAGGTCCTACAATCCTGAACCATAAGGTCATCACCCTGGCTGGGCTTGAGACAAACCTTTTTCCTTGCGTCTGCTAGTTTAATAAGGCCTCCAACATAGGTCTCAAATATTGTTTTTCAAGCAGCTGAAATGTTAAGATCACTTCCAAACAGATAAAGATTTAGAAGACAGTCATCTGCAAACTTCCTAATCAGTGAAAAGATCAGCTCACACCAGGGTGGTTCCACCCTCTTCAGATTGTCACAAGGTACTTTTTAATACCAAAAACAGGTCCAAAAGAAGGCAGCAATGCAACTCTTACATAGCTCAATCCAACAGGTTCTCAAGTGTTGCAAACGGAAACCAGGATGAGAGGCCACCTTCTGTTTGAAGTGCCACCAGCAGATATACCTATACAGCCCCAGCTTTGAGCCTCTCCAAAGCTGCAACAGAATAGAATAACAGTTGGAAGGGACCTTGGAGATCTTCTAGTCCAACCCCCTGCACAAGCAGGAAACTCTATAGACAAATACCCCATATAACTTCATGGTTTTTGTATTCAGCTGAATGGCATTTCTAATGTTGTTTTTATCCACTCCCATAAATAATCAATGTGAAACAGACATTATAGGAGAAGAGTCGTGTTAGTCTGTGGTAGCACTTTCCAATTAACACATTTTATTATTAAAAAGCATAAGCTGTAAGAAAGCTGCCTAGAGTGGCAAGGCTGATGTAGGATTTAAATTGAGAGAAGGGGGGGAGGATGAGGAGAAAACAAAGGGTGGTACAGTAATACAGATGGAAGTTACATCTGAGATAGATTGCAACTGCATTATCAATTAACAATGGTTAATGTGGTAAACACCCACATTGTTGAGATTGCCTGAAAACTCTGATGTGAGTTCAAAGTTTCAAGTTCAAGTCCCACATTTCCAAAACAGTCACTTTGCTATGGAGATTTCTGGAGGGTTGAAATACCGATAGGATTGTCTTGGATTGGAAGGCTCAACAAATACATTGAGTTTTTATTTACATCCATTATGGAGATGAATATTAGTGACCCAGAAAGCCACAAACCATTTTCTGTTCCAGAATAATCACTTCTGGAAAATGAAAACTACCCCCAAATGGCAGAAGTACCATTAACCTCAGTGGAACATATTTAAGAGCATCTTAATGAATTGCAGAATATCTAAAAGGAAATATATAAAGATTTTTAATAAATAAACACATGCTGTAGTCTAATAAAAGGCTGTTTAGTTCTAATGCAGGTAGCAAATCATTTTGTTACAGTTTTACAAGGTGTGTCCTATTTTGCAGTTCTTTAGGCAATAGCTCTACCTGTAGGATTCAAAAAGAAGGAAACATGAGGAGTAGCACAATTTGACGGAATTGCATGGACTATCTATCCTTTATTGTATAACAGGAGAAATAGCAAGGGATAAACAGAGAAGGGATTATCTTTTCTCTTCTTGCAATTTTAATTAGCATTATTGTCTTGTGGATTATACCTTTCTTCCTGTTATGGAAACACTGGTCTTGTGAGCTGGAAGATTCTCTTGATCCTATGGAAAATCACCTTCTATGATGTTCCTTTAATCTCTGCACCCTCTCTCTGGCAGCTGTGATCTGCTCTTGGTCCAGTGAGGTTGACCTTGGCCCCTTAAGACCTTCTCTGTTCCTGCTTTTTATTCCCAGTAGTCCTTACTAGTCCTCAACTTATGACCACAACTGAGCCCAAAATTTGTGTTCCTAAGTGAGACAGTTAAGTGAGTTTTGCTCCATTTTATGATTTTTCTTGCCATAGTTGTTAAGTGAATCATTGCAGTTGTTAAGTTACAAGCACGGTTGTTAAGTGAATCTGGCTTCCCCATTGACTTTGCTTGTCAGAAGGTCTCAGAAGGTGATCACATTACTCCAGGACGCTGCAACTGTCATAAATATGAGTCGGTTGCCAAGCATCTGAATTTTGATCGCGTGATAATGGGGATGCTACAGTAGTCATTAGGTGTGAAAAATAGTCATAAGTCACTTTTTTCAGTGCTGTTGTAACTTAAAACAGTCACTAAATGAATGGTTAAGTCAAGGACTACCTGTGTTGACCGGCTGAAACCAATGGAGAACATATGCTAAAGCCTTCCAATGGTAAAGATCTCATAAAGACTTGTCCCTTTAGGAATTCCCCCCCCCCCCCAAAAAAAACCTGGACCCTCATTCTTTCCTGCAGGCTTCCTTTGCTCTACCTGCTTTGCACATGAACATTTGAAAAGGATTTATTATCATAACTGGCAAAGTTTGCTTAGAATTAACCCATCAGAGTTCTGGTTGCCTAAATCCATTGAAGTGCCCAGCAGTCTAACCTCATTAGAGCCTTGATAATGATACTGCTATTAATTAGCTAGTTATCTTAAGCTGCTTTATACTATTTGCCTTGATAAGGTCAGATTTCCCCTACCGTTTTATTATTTTAATAAAATATTAATATCTTTAATGCCTTTTGGTGAATTTTCATATGTATATAGGCGTTAGACCATATTATAAAGACTAATTACAAATAGTCCTCACTTTGTGACCATTCAAAGTTACTGTGGAGCCACTCCAAAGCTACTTACAACTGGGTCCCAGAGTTCTGATGGCCTCAGCAGCCTCCCCCCCGATCATGTGACTGTATTTTGGACATTTGTCAGCTGGCTGGCATTTACAACTGTTACAATGTCCCACAATCACATGACAATAATGTTTGGCATTTTTTGCCAGTTTCCAGTATTTTCTTCCAGTTTTCAGGGAAAAAAATCCATTGAAGAAAATGGATTTGCTGCTACAAAAAAGGTTGTAAAATTGGGTGTGATCATGTGGTTAATTACCACCAAGACATACGGCTAATTCCTGGCTCAATTATACTAGTAAGTCGTGGACTACCTCTATATCATAAAGGGAACACATTGGACTTCTGATAGCTTCATGGATAGGTCCATGCCATTTTCTTTTTTTATATATAATATTTTATTAGTTTTCTAATTTTACAATTAAACATTTAAAAAGCAACATGGTGACTGGGTTAATCAATAAT